AACAATTAATGTAATAACATGTATTAGTGACGAGAAATATTCGTAGTTCGCTGTTACTAGCGGCACCGAAACTGACTCGCCCGTGACTCACGCGCACAAGTCCCGCCGACGTCAACAGAGCGCCGGCCGACCACGTAATGCAAGCACTACCGCAGCCTCATAAATTGTAGACCCGGTATTATAAACCTGTAAGTATTGTTAGCTCTGTACATTATTACTGTTCATGAATACAACTGGAACCATCAAATGTGAGTTAAATGTTAATATAATTTCACTCCTGTTTATAGAAAATCTGTTCGGGTTAAAATATTTCATACAGAAGGCATCATTCTAACATGGCGTATAAAGAATTATTTAAAACTTACTTACTAAATTCTTACGCTTATTTTGTTCGACAAATGTGCATTATTAGTGTTCATACTTTCAAATGTAACTGTCTGTATCTCTATGTACGCCTTTCTGGCATGGCGTACATCCCACAGTTTTACACTGTATAGCAGATTAAGCAAATGCCCTCGATACAAAATACGGGACATTCGAGTGTTTGAGGTGCTTAAAAATAAATGCGCAGGGAGCATAAGAACAAATAAATTTATTAATATACAATAACAGATTTTAAATATACATTATTGCCTACATCTTTACAAATTAATATGGAAAAATATACTTGATTTTAATAAATGCCACACATATCTAATAATATTTGTGGCGGTGTCATCAGGCCGGTCGTTGGAAATTTATTGTTGTCAATTGTTGGATATGAATACCTTATAAAACAACTTGTCTTTATCAGTGCATTTCCCCCACTGTTTCTGTGTGAAAACAGCGCACTCCTTTACTTCGAACATTTTTCGCACATCGTCCTGAAAAGAGTTTGCTGTTTTATTACACGCGGAAAAAACGACTCGGCCATCCCGTCTTCTAATTGAAACTGTATATTTGTAGCTGGGTATGTTCCGTAGGCCCGCGTGGCAAAGACGAATGTAAACATTATTCTGCTTAATTCTGGTCGTCATGAAGAACGTCTCGCCTAAAACGAACATGGCTTCGTGACGATCGCAACTATTTGGGTCGTTACAATTAATAACTGCACTCAGCGTCGCTGTTTCTCGTGTCTTGTCACTTGGTAGGTAATGAATTTT